GTGTGTCATCTTACTTTGAAGTGATAATCCTCCGGGGTATCCATATGAGCGCGCTCCATCAAACCCATACACAAGTAAGCCGACTCTTGAAAGAGCATCAGTATGATGTAGCTGATGAACTCCAGGTGTAATGTTGGCATATGCTACGTATCCACAAATTTCAACACTTGAGCAATAGACAGTGTTCCGTGTAGAGTTCTCAAGTGTAGTATTGTCAACGAAAATATTCTGTGGCTGATAGTGTTCGGGAGTGACAAATATACTGATAGATTGTTGAAGAAATCCCGGTAGTACATTAAAAACATAAGAGTGTTTGTACTGTTCAGTAGGTGGGACCGTTATCATGGATGGATCTCCTATACCATCCAGTGACATACCTAATGTAAACTGCATTACAAGAATGGGTTTATCAGATGTTATAGAGCAGTAATTCATTGTGGGTGTCCCAAATTCTATCCAGGAGCCAGCTTGGGCCAAGGTGTATATGGTATTGTTTATTCTATTGCAGTTAACTGTCACTGAAGTGGATGCCTTTGAAGCAAGAATACGATACAGTTCGCCCGATGCTCTGCCGGCAAAGGAAGCAATCATAAATCTCTTTCCCCATAGAGCAGTGGGAGGCACTTGTTCGGTTAGATGGTCACAGTAACCATCGTCACGTGGAACAAAACTGCATGGATTTCCCACGAAAACTGCTAGGGGTCTATTTGATGTAACTCTCGTTCCCGTAAAACTGTGACTCTCCCAGAAATAGGTCTCCATTTTGTTCAATTCGACTATCTCAGAACCAATTTGAAGCACTGTATTGTTCTCACAACCAACAATCACGAAGTGGCTCAAGCTGTGAGAAGCATATGCCAGTCCATAGTATTCATATTCTTCCACTGGCAGCCAATCACATGGAAGAGCTAGGAAAGCATCAGTTGTTCCGGTGCCATAATTCAGTCCATTGACCACAATACCGCTCTGTGTCTCAGCTGTGACTCGAATTCCTTTATTACTTTCATTAGCTGATCTCACTTCAAAAGATGTCGGTATCTCTACCTGCAGTATCTCGTGGTTTGTAGCGAACCCCGTGAAATTAAATCCTGTAAGAGTTTTAACACTAATAGCCACAGGGCCTGGCTCAATCGATGATATGAAGATTTTCAAACTTTCCGAGCCTTCATGGTTTTTACCAAAGGCAATGAGATATTCTGGATTTGAGGTAGAAGATCAGTTTAGATCAGATCCAAAATCAGTTATATGCAAGTAAAATGTTTAAAGTGTAATTTAAAAGATTCATCAATATATAATTATGGTTTTTTTTAGCTTCACAGTACACGAAGAAAGGGACAAAAAACAAAACAAAAAAGGACAGACACAGAGATGACTGCCCCACAATTTCGTCACTCACAAGTGGATTCACACCACCCAAATATTTTGCCTATATGTAACTGGATGTTAAAAGTCAACTGTAAGTAATTTGCAGTTATATAGATTATAAAGCAGGATGTTAAATTCAACGTGACCTTGGAGTGGGGAAGAGCCTAGGCTCCAAACCACAAATGTGTGGATGGCACATGCCAAGTGGCAAAGCATTGAGTGGTGAGCTTTGAACCACTCTTCTGTACATCTAGAATATACTTTGGTGATATCATGGTTGCTTGTGCATATCATACTACAAATTTCAAGATAACTATAGTAACTTTGATAAGCCATAGATAGCGTGCACGCTATTGTGTCTGAAATGCATGTGTATAGCAATGCATGTGTATAGCATGGTGTATGCATGTGAACTACGGTGTAGAAAGGTAAAGGCACAACAAACAAATCAACTACACCCTGCCCTAGGTGGGATTCGAACCCACAACACTCTGCAGTCTAGGCGAGCACTCTTACCAACTGAGCTACTGAGCTACCAGGGCAACTCAGCTGGTAGGGGTTGGAATCTACAACAAAATACAAAATGTGCATGTACACACATTGTTTGAGTGAAGGTCTTGCTGCTTTGCCTTTGCTATCATGCAAAAACTCCCAAAGCATTACTCAGTATTATATTAGCTGAGCTAAGCGGGTAAAAACGATATGTAATACAAACTCCTTTCCAACGTGTAAAAGAACTCCATTTCAAACGTAAATGCAAGGATGGCACTTGACATTGCCATTAACAAACCACTGGAAAGTTTTGCAGCTCACCTTGATGTGCAATAGCGGATGAGATGGCCAGCAAAATTGAAAACAATTGCACGGGATTCATCCTTGAACTTAGCAAACTCGCTTTAGATGAGAAAACTGAGAGACCTTGTCGCTATACACCACAACGGTCCTTGCTTTGTCTCTAGATAGCCTCAGTCTGCCGCCGCCGGCATAATGAGACCACCCACTTATCTCGTAAACGCTTGGGTAGGATGATTGAGCATGCGCTGTAGGCCACGAGACCGATTCAAACTAAGTTAGTACGCAGCCCAACGTTGCTCGAAAGCGCTCTCTAGATGCGCTGACGTAATGCTCGCATGTTTCGTCGCTAGCTGATATTTCTCGCCGCGGCTAATTAGCTACGTGCTATTTCTCTTCTTCTATATACCGTTATTGGCTATTAGCTACACACTCAGGGCGATCCCAGTGTAATTTTTTTATATTGGGTAACGCAGTTTTTGCTGACGCTGGATCGCATAAACCTTTTCTTGTTCTCAGCATGATACTATTGAGCAAAAGATCAGGTGGCTCCGGACTTTATTCGCGCGCATGCGCATTGTTTACGTCGCGCCTATAGCTGAAACTAGGAATCAACAGTAACTGTATGCACGGGTAGCGCTCTGTTTACGGAAGTCAGCGGCATTACGGCAAAACATGCGCGAAACAGATCGCCGAGAGCCAATACAAGAGCTCTGGTGCAGCTACTGCAGCTAGCAGAGGCTGACACTGTGGCTCATTGTGTATCTCAGCAACTTTCATACTGAAAGATGCTGATATTTCTCACGGCGGCTGCAGTAGTCGAGCTTCTTTTTGTTGATGAAGGTATTACAGCAGTTTGTTTTATCTCATTGTGTTGATAGCTACTATTTAACATATCAAGCTAGCTACCCTGCCTAAAGTTTAATGGTTTTTAAAAAAAACAAAATTCTGCATAGTAATGCATGGTACAATGCTCAAGAGTTAGATTGGCCTGTAGTTAGTCATTTTTATCCCCTGACTTTGGAATAGGGGCAATACTTGCTATCTTCCACATTTCCGGGAACTTTGCTGGTGCAAGGGCTGGCTGCCGTGCTCCCCAAGGAAGTAGGTAAAAGATCTATGGCATGCAAATGCACTACGCTATCCTGTAAGGGTCATATGGTGATATGATGGACATTATACATCTATAACAATGTTGACATTGATACCACAACAATCTAGAGCAACGTTGGGGCCCTACTGGGTCGGCCAAGAGTCTGTGGTGAGGCGGCTATACAATTGGGCTAAAGGTGAAGCAATGCTTCTGGCTGTTGCTTTCAGCATGAAAGCTGATATGCCGTCGGGGCCTTTGGCTTTATCGACATCAAGTTTATTCATGAGGGCAAAACCCTCTTCAGGGGTGACTTCATGGGTTGGCAGGTCAGCGCAGTGATATGATTCTTCAGTGAGTGGCTGCTCCACAGTGTTCCAACAACTAGCAAAAAATGTGTTCAGTAGCGATGCCTTTTCTGTGTCTTCTGTAACAGTGTGATTCTCATGTTGAAGAGCTGGAATTGTTTCTCTATTTTTATTAAGCAGTTTTAGTCTTCCAGAAATCTCTGGAATTGCCCATTATTTGTCAAAATACTCCCTCTTTTTGATTCTCGTAAGACCAACAATCTTGTTTCTAAGTTTCTTGTACTGTTGAAAGTGAGCGTCTTTCAATGATCTCTTTGCTTTCATGAAAAGAGTGTTGCGCTTATGAAGGAGCTGGATGATGTTTTTTAAGCCAGGGAAGGTTACCGCCTCTTTCGTAGATAACGACGTAGAATGCACTCTCCCATGGTAGCAAGATATCTCTCAGAAATATCAGCAGCTGCTTTACTGACACTAACACCATATTGAATAATTCTGCAAGTTTTCTCATAGTTACCCTGATGGTAAAGCCAAACCCTTCTTATTTTGCACAGTGGCTTGGCTTTTAATTTCCATTTTAGAATCAGTGAAATCCCATAACGATCAGAGGTTGACAGTGGTGGAATACATTCTTGTAGCTGTTCAGGATTTGTCAACATTGCTAGGTCAAGCAGTGATGGAGGAGTGCCTGATGGATATGAGAGGATACAACTTGAGTCAGACAAAAACTGAGCAAAATGTATTGAATATGAGAGAATAAAGAATGATTAATATTTCATTAATTAACATTAAAATCACCAGCAATGATAAAGTTTGAGAAACCTGCTGGATTTACAATCTGAAGTGTTGCTAAAAGATCATACAAAAAAGAAACAGGAGATGACGGTGGACGGTAAAAAAGGCACAAACAAAATGATATTGAAATGAACCATGGAATGCAAATCGCAAATGGACCACCTATTAGCAACGAACAATGGACATAAACAGCAATACCACCCCATGTCTATTCCTGTCCAGTCTGAACAACTGATAGGATAGGTCATTGTCTGGTATACTGTCATCCAGCCATGTTTCTACAATACAGATGATATTTGGCTTTGTTGCTACACAGACAGCACGAAGTTCGTCAACTTTGGGTAAGAGACTACGTGCATTATAGTGTATAATAATTATGTACCTGTTCTCTCGTACTGTCACACATAACATTCACATGAGATACACTGAAAGGGACTCACTGCAGGTGGAGTGAGTACTGCAGCCTGGTTGTCACTGACTTGAGATTTCGACACTCGAGTAACTGTAAGACTCCTCAGAAGAGGCACTTGCAGTGCATGAGGTACCAATGTGAGACTGGGAACTGGCAGGTGGACTTAAAGTAGTGCTAGGAGCATGCTGAGATGGTTTGAAACAAGGCTCAAGCTTCCATCCAGTTTGAAGCTGGAGCTGCTCCCATGCAGCTTCCAGGTCAAGCAACAGATAGCATGCGGGAGTCGATACACGGCATTCATTCTGACTTCTTGTGCCTCTAAGGTATACGGAGCAACTTGACCCGATTGAGGTATATAAGCCTATGCTGATTTGCATATTGGCTTGTTCACATGCTTTTCATGCCATAACTTTCAAACGCAGTTTTTTTAATGAAAATCGCCTTCTTTGAAATCAAGCCAGTGTAGCACTGACCCCATTACTATTGCTCTTTCTCCGATTTCTTGCGTGTGGTGGCAGAAAAAAAGAGTGAAAAAGTAACACACATAAACACCAAAATTTTACATTAAAATAGTGAACAAAAAGCAAACATTGTAGCCTGATAGGTCTTTTTGTAACAGTTTAAAGAGTGCTTATATATAGCGTAAGCCTCAACAGCCTGTATTTCACTGGGACGTGGAGGAGCGTGCCTTGCCCTCTGGAGGTGCTGCTGTGGTCGAATCTGTGGTACAGCATACTCGGAACTGGGGATCTCAACGCATCTGTATGCAATGTTCTCTTTCGTTTCAGGTTCATCACTTAGACCAGGTTTTGGCATCAAGAAGATTCCGATATTTTCATACTGTCTCTCACGTTTTCGTTCAGCGGTACTCTCTGATGTGCTTGCACTTTGTTTCCGGTCGCATCGAGGCTGAATATCACTGCTAGGTACACTCACACTAGCTTTGCGGTAAGCTAGAGGCCCAGTTTGCTTTGAGTTCCTGTCAGATTTTGTGACGGAAGTACTACTCGGCACACTCACAATTGGTTTTGGGTAACGCTCTGGCTTGACGACACTACTTGGTAATGTCATACTTGGTTTTCGGCCATGTCGAGGCTCAGTGGCACTTCTTGGTGCACTAACACTTGGTTTGCGGTACGTCCGAGGCCTAGAAACATTTGGCTCAGGCATAGCTACTAGTAGATTGCTCGTCAAATTGTCGCTCAGTAGTGCCACGTGGCACACTCACACTTGGTTTCCTCCGGTGTTCTAACGGTAGAAGCACTGGGACCGCTATTCCCATCATCCCACCAAAACCACTGTTTTTGTTTTCATTAGATTGAGGAGTTGACCCTTCACTAGCCTTGGGAGGACTATCATAGTCGTTTCCATCACCCAGATGATTGGAGCACTGCAGTGTCGGAGGTTTTAGAGATCTGTGCTGTTTCCTCTTGTAACAGGAGATTGTCACAACAACAGCAACAGCAGCGGCTACTATAAGAACGACTAAAAGGAGTAGAAGAAGTAGGAGATTGCTCTCTTCACCTGTATTGGAAAAAAAAACACTCTGTTTCATGCCAATGAAAGGTGAATGAAACAGTGAATAGTAAGCACGCTTACCATCATTGTCGGTGATTGTAATTTTCAAGTACAGAGACGGAAGAGTTGGAACTTATCAGTGAAAGCACAAGCGTTTCCGTCTCTTCTGTTTCTCCGTCATCCTCAATTGTCACAGAGAAAGATTGTCTTTTCCCCTTCTTGATGAACGTAAGTGCAGAGATTGAGGCATTGTGAAATCTGAAAAAATACATTTACAACGGGTTAGTATCGTAACATTCATCTGTTTGTCCATAATTGGGGCACAGTTTATGAACCACTTCTGATAGCCACTGGCTAAATAATTATACAAAGCAATGTTAAAACATGTGAGCTCATTCCATGCCAGTTAAAGTTGTGCTAAAGAGGTGTTTTCAAGATAGGTACACGAGGCAAAACGCCTATTGGTGGTGCCCTTGCTGTTACAAACCTTTTCCCTCGAGGGCCGTGCCATCGCTGACGACGATGTCCACGGAGACTGGTACAATAAGACCCTTACAGCTATATAGTAATGCATGCCATAAGGTGAAGAAAGTCTGCTATAATGTATAAAGCTACTCAGTATGATTCACATAATCCATATTAATCTCATATATAGTCTTTAGCATTGCTCCTCAGCCTGATCACCAGGTAATTGCTGCGTAATAGGCGAAGTAACATTTTCCTGCTGCTGATTCGAAAGAGCACCATAGGCAACATTCTCTTGCTGCTCAATAGGGGAAGTAACATTTTCCTGCTGCTGGTTCGAAGGAGCACCATAGGCAACATTCTCTTGCTGCTCAATAGGGGAAGTAACACTTTCTTGCTGTTTGTTAGGAATTGCTAAATTTTTACTTGTCTCTGGCTGTGTCTGCAATGAAATCTCGGTACTTGCTTTATTTTCGGGTTTTGTCAAGGACAGAAGAATAGTATGAATCTGGATCATCATAGATGGGCTCTGGAGTTGGGAGAGTAAGTTTACTTTGCCTCTTCTTCCTCTGCCTCATAATTCCAATGAGAATTGTAATGATGATGATTGCAGCAATCAGTAGCACGGCTATCACAACAGTTACTATGATGATGATCACAGGCGGATTTTTATCTCCTATTCGAAAACAAAAGTGTATTCAGTACACTTTGCAATTGCATATAATTATACTGAGTCAAAGACTACGTGATTTAACTTTTTGGTATAAGGTATTAGCCTAGGCGGATTTTTATCTCCTATTCGAAACAAAAGTGTATTCAGTACTAACATAAACAGTGCTTTACACTTTGCAATTGCATATAATTATACTGAGTCAAAGACTACGTGATTTTGCTAGTAGGTCTATTAGCCTGGGCCTGGAGTATGTACTTGCTCACCAGTTGGTATTTCATCATCACTGTCAACGATAGTGACATCATTGTCAATGATGGTTATGGTGATGGTGTCAGGGGAGACAATGACAGTGGCTCCCGACACAGGGTTCACTAGAACTATGGAGAACGTCTCGTCTGGTTCATCTTCAGTGTCGTCAGCAATGGAAATCAGAATATTCCGAGTTCCATTTGATGTAAATGCAAGACTTGACGGACCAGTTATGAAGAAATCTACACATCATACATTTGGGGAAGAGAGTAATGGGATAGCTAACTATGTAGGAGCTGCAGGTAACCCAGTGAAGAAAGCTATCCGTGAACGCACAACCGAAAAAAGTCCTAATATTTAAAAATCACGAGCTGTGACTTACACTCTGGAAAAACTGTGGTAAGACTATATACGTTGTTTATACCTGATTGTTCCATGGCAGATCCATCCTGGTATAGTATGTCGACTGTGATAGGCTCAGGGACTTCCTGACTGATGGTGACTGGTATGAATACATTGCCAGCATCCTCTGGTACCGTGAGAATGTCAGCTTCGAAGCCCACAAGTACTGCAGGGAAAGTTTAATTATAAGACAAATCAGAGGGAGAAGGTATTTAATTCAAAACAGAACCACACATAATGCCCAACGACCTTCATCATCGTAGCTATCACAACAAAGCCACACTCCAAACTCACCATCATTGTCGAGTATGGTGACAGTGGTAGTGTCTGGGTCGACAGATATCTGTGGATTTGTGTCGAGAACTGTCAGTGTAAATGATATCGTTTCCGGTGGTTCCAGAGCAATGACATCATCAGGGATTTGGAATGATATTGATATGGAGTTGGGACTAGATGCTCCATCCGGGAAAGCCTTGATGGCAGAGAAGTTTCCACCTGCCACCTCGAATTCTATGACAGAGTCGAACGGAGCAGATTTCACCACGACTACCTCCAGTGTGCCACCCTCTTCCACTGTGTACTCAATACTCTCGAAACCAATACCTGGAGAGAGAAGTAAGATACCTCTCACTCATAACCTCATCCCTTACGTCATTGTGGAACATAGGAAAGTCATTAAAACTCTAATAAATCTACCCCTCTCTGACCTATCCACTTAGAAGTGCATGTTTTATAGTCAAAGCCCACTTTTACAGGCCTCAGATAATGCAAACAAACCGAACTCTCGCAATTAACAATTATTAGTAGTTTAATGCTAAACAGATCAGCAAACAGCCCAATGTGACCGACTGTGACTAGAAGGTGAGCTATGGTACGAGAGACTCACGCAGGTCATCATCAGAAATGGTGACAGTGAAAACACTGATCCCCAGTTCCACTCCACCAGCAGGCTGGGGGTTGGACAGAACAACTGTGAATGACTCAGTCAGTTCAATGGTCCCATCATCCAGTATTCCAACTGGCACAAAAACTGTTCCGTTGGAGGAGAACTCGAGCTGATACAGAGTGGTCCTCACATAGTCTAATATGGTGGCATCACATTCTTACATAAACCTGCTACATGTTACATGTACTAAAACTAACCTTCTTGTTCCACAGCTGTACCACTGACAACTTCCACGTCCACTGACGCATTAGTAGCTATCTGTTGAACCACACTGACTGGAACCATTATATCACCACCATTCTCATCAACTGTCACACCATCTGCTTCAAAATCCACTGTCACTGGCCCTGGGGAAATGACAAGATCAATGATTGGAAGTGTATAGTTGGAAGGCCAAACTGTGGCCACAGATATAATGCAAACACACTCCCTGATCGCAATCTGTAACTACTGTCCATTTTGAAATGAGTATATAAGTGTAGCGAAAAGGTGCTACACCTCAAGTGAATTTAGTGTTTTAGACACTAAAAAAAAATATTATAAACTCACTGTCATTATCCTGAACAACAATAGAGAGTACAGTGTTAAACGTAATTATCTGAGGACTGCTTGTCAATAAGGTCAAATTTGTAACGATTGTGACATCATCCTCAAGACCAACATCATTGTCGGGGGCAGTGTAAAAGAAGTTGAGATTGGTGACTCTGTCTGAGCCACCAGCACTAAAACGATCTCCTCCATTGAACCCTTCTCCACTCAGTTGAAACTCAATTTCTGAGTCAAACAGACCGACTTTCTGGACGACAAACCTCACAGTCTCTCTCTCAGAGGCAGTGAGGCTGGTATCTCTGAACCCAACTACCACAACTGCACGTACAAACGAGAGAAGGGTTTCTCATAACGTGAACACATACACACTCTGAACTCTGTCAGAAATGGGGATTTTCTCTAAATTGCGGTTGTGAGATTACAAGCTTTCTTTGCTGATGCACATCCCGGTCCCAAATCTCATGCCAGGTAGGCAGTGAGGTGTGCAAGGTAAGGGGCAGCATTGCGTAACTCTACCCCCATCTGGAGCAATGACAATAGTAGTCTCAGCGTCTACTACGGTAGCATTGACAGCTGTGGAGTCAATGGCCAGTCTAATTTCCTCCTCTCCCTCCACTACTGCTGACTGTAGGATGGTCACTGTGAGGCAGCCCCTGGCCATATTGGCTGGAATGACTATCTCTGCCGGGTCACTCAGCTCGTAATCTTCCCCCTCTGCCAGTAGAGATATGTAGTAGGTACATACATAATACATAATTACCTTCACTACAAAGATACTTCTGTGAAATAAAGTCAGCTAGTGAGTGTATCGCAGTAATATGAACCGTTCAATTATATTTACATTAGAACCTCCGATAGAGGACACATTTGAGGTCCCAAACGTTCAAACTTTTCTACCCTAGATTGTAACCCGCGAAGAGCGGACATCCTCCCTAAATAAAGTACAAATGCCTGGTCCCGTGTCCATTATTCAGAGGTTCCATTGCCAAGAGAAGTAAGCTGCTCGGCCTCATGAAGCTCACGGGAGGCAGAAAACACATTTATTCCTGACCTGTGGCAGTGGATGTGGGGAGGACAGAGATGAGAACAGTGAGACTGTTGGCCACTCGACCATTCCTGACTGTGACACACACATCCACTCTTGGAGTAGGATCTCCCTCCATCACTGCATACATTGCCTGCTCGAGCTCTATCATCGCTGCACATTGAAAAGTAGCTATAGTTTCCATACTCTGGTCAAGAAACAAAAAGTTTTCTGAAAGTTTCATTCCCCCCTGAGTTATAATTTATGGCTAGATGTTCCTGCAAGAGAAAGGCATCAGTGTACTAATGATGACACCACAGATAATTATATCTCCTTACATGAGCACATTTATTACAGGATGTGTTGAGCCCTTTCATTATGGGTTTATGAAGGACTGGTGTCGGTGTCAGTTAGCTCCATAGCACCACCTCCATCTCCCTCTCCTGAAGCGTGTCCAGTGGGATGGTGGCCAGTTGGGAGATGGTGTGGAGAACCACTGATAGAGGCACTGACATTACCTATATACACCATCCACCAGTTGGACTCCTCCACTATCTACACACTCACCGTCACAGCAACCAATGTAGCTGGAACGAATACTAGTCTTCCCATCATAGTTTCTATTGGTAGGCATGTGTAGTCCAGGAAACATTATCTCTAACTCTGATTGCAGTTCCAACCGTAAAAGAGATCCTCAAGAGAGAGAATATTGATGCCACATGTTTCGAGACTCACAAATACTTGGTCATAACTGGTGGACTAGCAGGAGGAGTGCAGTTTATTGTCACTACTGCTAGTATCATTGCTGTAGTGTTTACGTTGAAGTGCTGCAGACAAAGGTCTTTGGCTCCCAAAACCAGGCATTTAAATAGAGTGTGCAGACTCATCTAGCTATCATGATCAATGTTTCTCGTATGTAGTAGCTAACACAGGCTTCCCAGATTCTATTGGTGTTATTTTGTAAGATGAAACCTATGAGTAAGCTGTTTCATGTGATAATGGAGGCTTGATATTATATTATACCTATTCCAATTTTCTCAGAGAACCTAAGTTCGAAACTACCACAAATCAGGCCTACAATGTTGTCAAAGAGAATGAAGGAGGGACAGAAGACGGTGGTTACACAACACCCGACACCAATACTGTGTCTTTATCCCAGTCTGCTGAGTTTATTCTCAGTGTTGAAGATGCTAATTATGAGAACTGAACGAGAACTGGTTTTTCAATGCTATTACTGTGTGTAAGCAAACTCAGCTGGAGTTGTTTTTGTGACAAACATTTTAGTTGTCATGAAAATACTCCTGTGTGCCACATGTGTAGGAAGTTTTGAAATGTTAACCAAAGATGGTTGTGAGATATCAGAGCGTCGGTCGGTAGACGCTGGATGACGCGGATGAAATCTCACGTGATCCGCCGCGTACAAAACTTGGCGAGAAAGACTCACCATTGCTTGAAAATCGCTAGCAATAGTCTACAGGCCAATACCTAGCTATACATACTCCCCAAGACTTCCTACGTGCCCTCAGTTTCCCACGAGAGAATTGGCTCTTACGCGATTTCATGATTTTCTGTCATCATCATCATCATCATCATAATTATTCTTCATCTTCCGGTTTCTTCTTCAAGTAAATCCGCTATCTCGTTATCAAAAATAGTTGAAGTGCTGATTTTTCCATCAAACGTTTCCAGATTCGCCAGAGGTGTGCACGGACATCAAGCGATCGTCTCTTGCTTGCCGCAAGTCACTACGGTATATCGTTGAGCTCCTCCACGATAGTCACTGAACAACGCATCAGTGAGCCGCATGCACGCCGAGGAGGGCGTTTCCAATGCGGTGCGCGCGAATTACATAGTCAAAAAGCCAGGGATGCACCTCTCATCCTCCAGCGCCTTCTGTAAGTCAGTATAACTGGCTAGCTTGCTTTTAGCTGTTGATTTGCACGTGGCAGTCTGCGCCGGGTTACGCGAGCCTTACCGGGCGTACAAATAGCCTTCATTCTTTGTCCCCCGGGTAGCTAATAGTAATCTGATTACTGAAGCCTGCCCATGAAATCGCCACCGTGTGCCACAACCTAATTGCGTCCTTGTTGGCGACACTGCGTACACCCCGCTTCAGGCGCAGCAGCCCATTAGCTACTGCTTTCATCAGTTATCTCTACAACATACCCATGAACATCAGGTGACTGAAAATGCAGTGTTGTCATAAGCAGTTAAAAATAGTGGAAACAAGTGGGAAAATCTTTTTTGAAGGGGGATATAGGGATGGCTCGAAGCACCAAAAAGGAAGAAACTAGGGGTCATTACACAGCAAAAATGCACAAAGCTACATGACACCATCCCTATATCTCTGTTTTATTGTTTTTTTAATATGAGACAAATAATTATATAGGGATGGTGTCATGTAGCTTTGTGCATTTTGTGTAATGACCCCTTGTTTTTTCCTTTTTGGTGCTTCAAGCCATCCCTATATCCCCCTTCATGTTGAAGAAATGATTATTCCACTTGTATAGTAAAGCATTGATTGATATACAATAGCAGCTATTCTTAAAAGGTGGGAGAGAGGGGGGATCCAAGTAGAAGGGATGGCTCGAAGCGGAAGACAAGGAAGTAAGAAGCCTGATTGTAAAGACGCAACAATCCTGTCAGTTTGATAATGGCACAGCACAACATGCAGCATGCACATAACTGGGATGTCCCGTACATTCTGAACCCCTACCAGCTGAGTTGCCTTGGAAACTCAGTATGTAGAGCGCTCGCCTAGACCACAGAGTGTCGTGGGTTGGAATCCCACCTAGGGCAGCTCTTTCTTTTTCCTTGGGTTGTCCGGGGTGAAGCTGACTTGTTTACTTTGCCTTTGCCTTTCTGCCTCACCTTGTTGTTGACACCTGCCTAGCTAGCTATCACCATAGCCTCCTGCCCATGTAATATATATATGCTTTGTGACAATGCACACCTCCGTTCCAAAGGCATGACCCGTTGAGGGATATGGCAGACAGAAGAGAATGATAAGAAGATGACGAATTATGATGGCAAGAGAATCGTGAATATGAGTGCGGATATAGTGTGGGAAATACACAGGCACCTTCCCAGGCCTTCCGTAAGTGAAAGTAGAACTAGGCAGGAAATATTATTTTTGAATGACTATAATAATTCTTCGATGAAAGATTGCTATGGATCAAGTAGTAGTTATACGACCCCTACGAGGGGGTTATAGCAAATACCCGAACTATAACAAATTTTTACCATGGTAACGGATTGCGTCATCATTTCTGGACCATAATTATTTGGGCACGGCTGTGGACCCGTCGCCATTTTTAGCTGCTAGGCCAGATTCTCGTTCTCTTCGACGATTGCACCATTGCAGACGTCCTTAGCGAAAAGTATGCAGATGAGATGGTTATTAACCGCCTAAAAACTACCGCGGTCAGTCGTCCTTCTCTGCCGAGTCAAGCAGTGAGTAAAACGCATTGAAAGAACGCTAATTCGGGACAGTCTGTGCCTCCTTTAGCTAGCGCTCCAGAAAATTTGTAGGCAGAAAGTAAGCCTGGAAACGAGTGGTTCAACCATGTAATCTACCCGCATTCATGCTAAATTCGCCACTTCTTGTTAGAAAGAACGAAGCTAACCTTCCTGTACTCCGAGCAGCTCATCACAAGGCCGTTTTCAAGGAGAAAAGTCGTAGAGGAGTTCTAGGACAGTACTCAACGTGCTTCGGATATCACTTCCTGTATATTTCACAGGTCATCCTTGTTGTTTCACAGGATATCATGTATATTCACAGGTAGATATGCTATCAGTTGGTGGTTATACTGAATAAACTGTGGGCGGCGCCTTTGAAAACACGCACTACCGTGGTATAAAAGCTAATACATTGGCACGTGATTCATGGTAACAGCAAAAAATATCAATCTGGAAAATGAATTTAGGGTTACAGAGAAAATACGCCAGTTGTGTAACTATAAATGTTGGCCGATGTCAACTTAGCATGAGTGTCATTTGTGCATGTATAATTATTATTATGGTATTGAAGAATTGGAGATCAGTTTTCAAACGCACCACTCTAAGGTTCTGCAAGGCAAGTCACCCCAGCCCTGACTCCTTTCTTACACTCATTATCCTCGTCCGTGAACTGTAGGTGAGTACAGGCAAACAGATTCTCTTCATCTCCATCACAGTTAACATGATCCAGCCAGTACTTGGCACCATTCTCAGCTTTAACCTCAATAGTTGTGGCACCTGTGCAACAAAGATGATCATGATGACCTTCCAGTAAGTTAGCTTAAACGCAATGTGTCAGTATACATCAGTAAGTGCTGAATTTGAAAGGCCCAGTCAGTGGAGGATCTAGAACTCCAGAAAGGGTGGTTCCATGCACCTGGAAAATCTTTAGCGGTGACGCCCACTTTTGGACACCTCGTGTGCCAATAGCTATCTTCAAAGCATTATGAGACCTTCCATGAGCTCTTCTTCTGCCAGACTGTTGGGTTCTCAGTATATCATCCTACTCAATATGCAGAAATCGCATCGCTAGTTTTGTAACACTTGGACTGAAAGGGGAGTTCCATGGCACCCCATGAATCACCCCTACATCCACCACTGTCAGTGACAGAATTTAACTAATATTTACATGTTCTCTTTGTACTGACACATTTCGGACCATACCATCAGCGGAGTGGCCAAGTTCCCTGCAAGCTACTTTGGCATCCTCGCTAGTCCAGTGGTTACAACACAGTGACCTCCACTCATTACCCATCCACAGTTCAACAGCACCAGATAGATAAAAAATTTCACCACCATCTGCTAAACGTATCTCAATGTCACTCTCATCTGAAAGTAGACACAGTAGTATAACAACAGATGATGATTATAGAGTAAGGCGTTCACATACTGAGGCACTGTACTCCAGCTCTCTCTCTTCGACCACAGTTGTGGACCCCCAAACCTCTGTGTGGACAATCAAACAGAGAAGACTCATCTCCTTCGCACTGAACATCATCCAGCCAGTATCGTCTGGGCTCATTCGCATTGAAGAAGCCCCTGAGAATTGGTGTAGCACCTGCCGGAAAAAAGATGTTTTATATGTCATTCAAATAGTAGCTGGTAAAGCAGGGAATATAATTGTAAGTAATATAATGCAGTGTGAAACAAATGCAGAGTGAAAAATACTCACCAAATCCCAAGAAACCAAGTTGTCGGCAGACTACATTGGCATCGTCATATGTCCAGTAATCATCACACACTGACCTCCACTCTGAGCCCCACAACACCTCTACCAGACCTGATTTCACTGTCTCTTGGCCACTCCTCTGATCCACCAGACGGATTCTGGCTTCTGTATTATAATGTACAATTAAACCAATGATCCCCCAATGAGTGCTTTCACTTTTCATTTTTGTCTACTTTAGAATGCCCCATGCAGTGCCTCGCCTGCGTGTGACTCATGTCACTCATTAAAAATGCCCCGCATTCATTATATTAATGAAAAGCACTCTGAAGTGCAAAACCCTCGGCAGCATGGTACCACGCATGTGGTTTGGGCTAGTGTATGCGTTAACACCGCAGCTTAGTCTAGCAATATTATTTGTCACAATCAGAGTGTGTGACTCTAGGCCAATGAACATGTTTAGAAGACCCAGACTGGCTTTATAAAGCAGGCCTGAACTGTCCTAAAGCTTAGGAACATGATAATCGAAGAAAGACATGAACTATCATCATCTCATCAAATCACAAGTAGCTGCACAACACAACCATGATCACACAAAAATCAGACAAATCATACAACAATTTTGTTCAAGGAATGACTATCACGCATGAAAGAGCACAAAAGTGCAAACCCTCGGCGAACTGCGCATGCGCAGTACCACTAATTAATGGGCTGGGCCGGCTTTTTATACCTTTACTCGTGGTATCCCGCTAGTAGCTCACGGACAGTCTGGCACGGGCTAGCTACAGTAGTAAATAGCATGCGGGAGTCGATACATGCCATTCGTTGTGACTTCTTGTGCCTTCAAGATACACAGAGCAAGGACTCCATTGTAGAAGACCTTCACGAACTCCATGACTCTGTGGTAGAAGAACCAGTCTGCGAGGGCTGGGTTCTCGATGACAGCCTTGGCTCTGGCAGTCCTGGAGTCAGGCCAGGGGTGTCGGGGCGGATGAGTCTAGCCAGCTCTGGCCACTGGAGGTCTGCTGCACTGTGAATGAAGAAGACTGTCGGCAGATCTAGACCCAGTGTGTCGACCAGGGAGAGCAGACGACTCATCTGACGTTGCCAGTACTGCTTGGTGTGTGGGTGGAGGAGCTGGATTTACGCTGATCCACTGACTGCTGCACTGCCTCCTGCTCCGTCATTGAGGGGACAACAATAGGAACGAATGATGTTGCAGATGGTCATCGTACAATGTATCACTGGTTATATCCCTAGAAGTGCTGTCAACTGTTGATGTGCTGGTACAACTGTCTGAGGATGAGGTCTCTTGAGTGACTGATACGAGGTCAGAAACATTTCCATCTTGTGGGAGCTGTTCCAAAGCTGTGGTGTCGATGGTAATACCCAAGGATCGATAGTACTGATTGTGGATAACCAGAGCTCTGTGAACTACACTTCGCCTTACTCGGAAGTCACGATGTGTCTGGTTGGCTCCTTCCCGCATCACAACAATGACAAGAAGGCAGTCGTGGAAAACTCTGGGCGAAGGAGGCCACATCCTGTGGCAGGTTGACTACATGTTCTGTGTACCCGTACTGTCCCTGTGGCAGTCTGTACAGCGACATGATGGGCATCACTGCAGAGATGAGCATCTCTTCCACCTGTTTCAGACCCTGTGAAAATGTGAAGTAAACAGTATCTGGTAATAGTGTTTTTCTTTGCTATAGGTGTGACAATCATTACAATAGGTGTGGCAATCATAACAATCTTCACTTACATGTGGCAGAGGACCAGGGTCCATGTTGTTCGTTCAGTGATGAGTAAGCTTTAGGACTGTGTTTGTCCCGAACACAACGCAAACATGAGTTCGGGGTGGTTCGACTGTACCGAACCACTCGGTACCAGATGGAGTCATCCGGACAGTCAAGCCAGGGAACCTCTCACGGCAGGTGATGCACAGGGAAATCTGCAAAGGTGCCATTTCAGAATGGAACTTGCTCATCTTTGATTGGACCATTGGCTGGTGAAGTTGAGGTTGGGCTGAAGTGGCAGTACTTGCCTGCTGCATGTGACTTTCTCGGTCACGCTGACATCTTGCTTCAGTCTCTTGTGGAGTCTCTGAGGCAATCCGTTGTTGTTGGTTATGTCGTAACAGCTGTAGGCGGGCCTCTCTCTCCTCGCTGGACTCGGCAGCAATTCGTCTTGCCTGGTAGCTTCGGAGTTGTGCGAGCCTAGCCTGTTCCGTTTCCCCTGATTCTGCAGCGCGTCTTGCTCTATCTTGTACACGACGTCTCGCTAGTCGTGCTTCCCTTTCTTCCGCTGTTTCGGCGGCGAGGCGTTCCGATGCCCGTTCCCTATCACGCAGTGGGCGTTGAGAAAGCCGAGCCCCTCTCTGCTCAGGAGTCTCACGGGCACGACGTTCTCTTTGTTGAGAAAGCCGAGCCTCTCTCCGCTCAGGAGTCTGGAGCTGTGCGAGCCTGGCCTGTTCAGTTTCCCCTGATTCTGCAGCACGTCTTGCTCTATCTTGTACACGACGTCTCGCTAGTTGTACTTCCCTTTCTTCCGCTGTTTCGGCGGCGAGGTGTTCCCTTGCCCGTTCCCTATCACGCAGTCGGCGTTGAGAAAACCGAGCCACTCTCTGCTCAGGAATCTCACGGGCACGACGTTCTCTTTGTTGAGAAAGCCGAGCCTCTCTCCGCTCAGAAGTCTGGAGCTGTGCGAGCCTGGCCTGTTCAGTTTCCCCTGATTCTGCAGCGCGTCTTGCTCTATCTTGTACACGACGCGAGCCTGGCTTGTTCAGTTTCCCCTGAATCTGCAGCGCGTCTTGCTCTATCTTGTACACGACGTCTCGCTAGTCGTGCTTCCCTTTCTTCCGCTGTTTCGGCGGCAAGGCGTTCCCTTGCCCGTTCCCTATCACGCAGTCGGCGTTGAGAAAACCGAGCCTCTCTCTGCTCAGGAGTCTCACGGGCATGACATTCTCTTTCCCTCTCTCTTCGACGATGAAGGGCATCCTCTGTACACTGAAGATTCATGGTTGCCACAGTTGTCAGACTAACACACGTGCATATGTAACGAAGCCACGCATGCACACTTACACGACGTGTGACGGACGGACGTATATATAATATACACCGTTCGGACCACTAGGTTAGCTCGCTCCCGCTCGCCAATAACTCTCGCTGCGCATGCGCGCCGAGGGTTAATGAATGGCTCTAGTATCAGAAGTATCCTGAAAAGTCGGAGATACTGATTAACAAAAGTAGACCTGGGAACATGGGCTGTTAGCTAATGTGTGCTCTGAAGGGCTGAAGGAAAACCTGTGCAAGGCTAACGTTCATCCGCGCTAACCCAGACCTTTGCTAAGAGGGGTATTGGTATTAACCATAAGTAAGTAGTTCCTAAATTACTTTTGTAGCCAATCTTATATTCAGGATCTTCTAGCTCTAAGTTACCACCACTCTTTTCATTACATCACCTAATGGTCTTTGAAGCAGGAATCATTTAAAACACTGCAGGTTGAAAAAGAACCTCTGAAAAGGACACTTCAAAATTAATGAAAAGCACTGAAGTGCAAACCCTCGGCGAACTGCGCATGAGCGGTATCGCTAATGGATGGGCTGGGCTAGCTATTGGCGTTTACCCGCGGTCTCCCGCTAGTAGCTCGCGGAGAATCTGACACGGGCTAGCTACAGTAGTAGATAGCATGCGGGAGTCGATACACGCCCTTCGCTGTGGCTTCTTGTGCCTCCAAGGTACACAGAGCAAGCGAATCAGGTCGAGGTGGAGCCAGCATGTATGCATATATACCGCGTTGATCGCGTCTATACGCATGCGCACCGCTTAATGATGGGTTGGGCCACGGAACTCGGTCCGCGACCGTGCCAGTTTGTCGCTCTCGAATGCAGTCGTTTCAGGAAAATCGGCTAATAATTTTTCAGGTTCACGTAGTTCTGAAGCCGTTGGTATCACTCATAGCCACTTCGTGGCCTGTAGTGCCAGAATAAGCGTCGACACACACACACACACACACAGACAAACCAACTACCGTAACCCTCGCTGCGCATGCGCGCCGAGGGTTAATGAAGACACCTCTCTATAAAGGACACTTGCGGCCTCTGAATCAAGACGACACCCACTATACCTTTAGGTGGTTCATCATTGTCAATGATGGTTATGGTGATGGTGTCAGGGGAGACAATGACAGTGGCTCCTGACACAGGGTTCACTAGAGCTATGGAGAACGTCTCATCTGGTTCATCTTCAGTGTCGTCAGTGATTCCCACCAGGATTCTCAGGGTTCCATTGGTCGTGAATGTCAGCTGTGACTGACCAGTTCTGAAGAAATCTAGACCAACAGAGAGATGTAACTTTGTACTGCAGGTGCGCATGCACTAATCTGATCTACATAACTCTTTTGATTAGTAGCCAAAGTATGGTATGCTGATGACGACCATAGTTTACCTGATCGTTGAATGGCAGTTCCATCCATGAACACAATGCCCACAGTGACAGGTTGAGAAATCTCCTGTGCTATGGTGACATCTACAAATATACTTCCACCATCTTCTTGTACTGTGCGAGTTTCAGCTTCAAACCCCACAGTTACTGCAGGCAAAGTAATATTATAAGGCAGGGGAAGGTACTTTAAGCATGATGAGGGAAAGGTAAGAATTAAAATAAGCTATAATGCTTTCTTTAATTAAGTAATTGACAGCTCCTTGTTTGTGAGTCCAGGTAAAGTTTTGACTAGATAAAGCTATGGTACGAGAGCAGTGGGTAGTTATAACCAACCACCGTATATAGCTAAATTATAGCTACACACTTGCAATGCAGAAACAAAGTTGTAAAGCTTTCAATCAGAGAAAGGGGTTAGGAGGAGGCGCCATGATTCAAATTGCAAAATCTGATCGCTCCTCACTGATTTCATCGTCGTCAATGATGGTGATGGTGGCCAGGTCGGGAGAGATGGTCACACAGTCTGGAGGCAGAGGGTTAAACAGAGTAATGGAGAAGGTTTCCATCTCTAGCTCGTCCAGATTGTCATCACGGATCCCCAACGGAATTGTCTGTGTTCCGTTTGCAGTGAATGTTAGCCTCGACAGACCAGTTCTCACAAAATCTGGAAAAAAGGTTTTTATTATACTCCCATCTGACGACAACATCAATGTTCGTAATATAACACAGGCTAGTTGTTAATGCCTAGGGATTTAAGGTGGATTGGAAAGTGGGAGCGAGCTAACCTAGTGGTCTGCTGAACGGTCAAGTTGTGCAGAAAGGACACAATACTATCAATCTGATTTGCTGAGGCTTGTACTCACTCCCGCGCACCAAAAATTCCCTGCATTCAGCTACTAGTACAAAGTTTAAAACACATGATGGTGCTGATCAAGGTCCTTTATTAATGGAGTGAAATGAGGAGCTCGTTATGTGAGGGTTCACCCACCGTCGAAACCTGCAGTTTCAAAGATGTAGTCGAAGTCCACAGAGACTGGGGCTGCAACTGGCTGCAGTAAACTGACAGCTACTTCAATATTTCCTCCATCTTCACTGACAATAATGTTTGCCTCATCAAATCCAATAGTCACTGGACCTGCAAATACATAGGTATATATACAAACAGCGGAAAACCGCTTAGAGCTGTTTTTATGACCACATATTAATAGGAGAACTCGTAACAAGTCTGACTATAACCATATTCAAACATTGTAGCTAGCTAGCTACCCTTCACAAACTGGGTGTACATAGTACAGATGGAGGGAGAGATGGGATGTAAGTTAATGAAGAATCCAGTGAAATCTCTGAATAAGGGTACACCTTGGGGTTATTGGAAGTGTCCTTCATTCCGGGGATGTATATTAAATATGGGCAGAACTAAGTAACCCTCGGTGCGCATACACAGCGAGGTGACAGTACTTGGTCTGTCTGTCTGTCTGTCTGTAGTTATTCTCGCACAACAGGCTACGAGGCGTCCTATGAGTGATACCAACAACTACGCCAGCCTGAAAAAGAAAATTTGGCGATTTTTGGGATGTGTCTTTTACTCATGGGTGTTGGGTTAATATGGAGTAGAACCAAGTGTTATTTGGAGATCTCACTGTATTATTTTAAGTACACCCACTGTATTTCAATGAAGTAGAATTCAGCTGCTTATGTACGTCGGAACACTCTCTATTTAAACTCACAATCATTGTCGAATATGGTGACAGTGGTAGTGTCTGGGTCGACAGATATCTGTGGATTTGGGTCGAGAACTGTCAGTATACATAGTATCGTTTCCGGTGGTTCCAGAGCAATGATGTCATCAGGGATTTGGAATGATATTGATATGGAGTTGGGACTGGATGCTCCTTCCGAGAAAGCCCTGACGGCAGAGAAGTTTCCCCCTGCCACCTCGAATTCTATGACAGAGTCGAACGGAGCAGATTTCACCACGACTACCTCCAGTGTGCCACCCTCGTCCACTGTGTACTCAATACTCTCGAAACCAATAGTGATAGCTGGAGAGAGGAGGGGGGGGAGAGATAGTTGGGAGTGGAGAAACAAAAAGTTTGGTGATGAATTGTAACCAATTAGGGGCATTTTTCATTTTGCATCCTAGGTACAGTAGCAGTATGTAGATAGGTAGCCAGCAACTTACTTCCTTGAGGAGCATTTTTATGCCTCATACCTTATGCTTGATCTTTCTTTCATATCTTAGAATTTGTATGAACAGGAAATGTACACTTTCAAGGCACTTTGGGTCCTCCTAGCTCCACAAAAACCAGTAAATCTACCACATTTCTAAGTCGTATTCTCCTAATCTTACAGGTGGAAGTGGTGGGAGGTTATTATTATTAAGCACAAGTATGAATATACCTCCGTCCCTGAGTATGACGACAGTAGTTTCAGTGATGGAGCCAGACGTGTCAAAGTCAGTGGTCATAGTATTGATGGCAAGGCGTATCTCCTCCTCTTGTTCCACCACTTCATCGGTAATAATGGAGATCTGGAGGCAACCGCTGTTATCACCAGCTTCAATGATGACAGGAGGTCCACTGATGAAGTCAAAGTCTTGTCCCTCTGTGAGAAAAAAAAACGGTAAAAATTCATTACAGTGCTGCTATAAAAAACACAGTAGGACCTCCAATAAAGGACACAATCTGTTTTAATAAAGGACACAGTTTGAGGTCATCCCAAGGCCATAAGAATTTATATGCGGTAAGAGCGCTATACTTTATACATACATCATTTTCTGCGTATATGTATATGCAGATCCCCATGGTGTCTAAAGGGTTAAATCAGCTATACAGTAGAACCTTCAACAAAGGACACACTTTAAAGTCATTCCAAAGGATCACTTTCTATGATTCCCAACTCCCAAATATCTATGACTCTTAACCTCTGAAGAGGGGGAAACCACAGTAATTGTACCTCAAGTAGCTCAAGGTAGGCAGAAAACATTGATCCCTGACCTGTGGCAGTGGATGTGGGGAGGACAGATGTGAACGGGTGAACTGTTGGCCACTCGACCATTCCCGACTGTGATACACACATCCACTGTTGGATTAAGATCTCCCTCCATCACTGAATACATTGCCTGCTCAAACCCTATCATCGCTGCACATTGAAAAGAACAGTTTTCCAATAATACACTCTGGTCAAAAGGCAAAAGTCATCATTTATGGCTAGAAATAATAGGAAAGACTTCTGCCAATAAGTCCATAGAGAACGAAGCAGGAAAACAACATGACACAGTGATTAGTTTTTCTCTTCTCTCTATCTTTTTCCTCCATCTCCCTTTCTCCTCCTTCTCACCTATCTCTCCAGTGATGGTCACAAGTGCCATGTCATTGGATATAACAGCAAACGCATCGTTTGTGGTTATCTCCACGTTAAAGTCCTCAGGTCCTTCAATGAGGTCATCGGGCACTATTCTAATTGTAGCACACCCCATTGATGACCCAGCGTCCAGTGTCACTACCTCGTCCTCCAGTACGTAATCATCTCCTTCTGAACACAGAACAACACAATTTTTGTTTATAAAATATTGCACAAGTACATAGTCCTCCATGTCTATATGTGACTTTCCCTACGTCGAAGTAGCTACGTTCTGTGTGTATTATGCAGTTGTAAGAATACTTGCCAGTAGCAGAGACTGAAGATAGAGACACAGAGATGGTGACTGGGTTAACGACAGTTCCATTATTTACAACTGCACACACTTCCAGAGAGCCGTCTGCCTCCGAGACTTCATACGCCATCTGCTCCACACCCAGTTCAACTGTGGGGGGAGTGAGTGAATGGAGAGATGGTGAGGTGGGAGAGAGGGGGTAGGAAGGAGGGAGAGTTAGAGAAAGGTGAATAGTAGGAGGGAGAGAAAAGTGAGAGAGAGGGAGAGAAAACAAGACTAAGGGAAAGAAAAGAAGTAACTAATGATGGTAGTGCAGTTGATATTACAGAGAGAGAGAGGGGGGGGAGAGATGCATGTGGGCACTTGGCAGTCTATCAGTGGAGGAAGTGGAGAGTCAATTATAACGACAGGAGCCGCACATTACCCACAATTAGACCCCTACAAACAAACCCACTGGTAGCGTAAACCTCTGCCCTATCCACCACTCACCACTAGCATCCTGAATGGTGATAGACACCGTGTTTCCGTCTGGGAAATCTGCCAGATCAGCATTATTGGTGACCGTCCCTATCACTGTTAAACTCTCGTCTCCCTCGATATCAGTATCAGTGGTAGTGTTAATGGTGATACAGACCACAGTATCTGGTGAGCCTGAGCCAGTTGGTCCTATGGTCACTGTCATATCCTCCGAGACATAGTCAACACCTGACATACACATCACACAGAGCGGGGCACTTGAATGTATACTCACTACTACCCATGTACATGGTAAAGTACGTAATGTCAGATTTGTACCACAATGACTCTTTCCCTTTCTATGTTTCTTTTAACGCTCCTTGTATACAGCAAATTCAGGCTCAGAATAAAAAGCTTCAGCTTTAGCAGACGATTGCCAAGTAACTCAACGGCATACAGAATGCTTGCGGCTACAATAGAAGGTTTAGGAGAGTTCTACTATTGCCTGAGTATGGCGATATTTCTAGTACTGGGCTCCTAGTTTTGTACGTACCTCCCGTGGCACTTCCACTCAGCAGAGACAGTTGTACAGTGAATTCTGCGTCGAGAACGTCAGTGTTGACTGGCTCCAGACACACTAGCAGTGAGCCACCCTCTGTGACAGTGACTGCCACATCCGCGAACCTCAGACTTACAACTGCTCCGTGTGACACGGACGTGGAGAAAGAGAGACAGAGCCAAATAAACAAGACAGTGGAAAAAAAGACTATATATGCAGAAATTTATGTGTGAAAGGCTTAATGTCATGAAATTAATGTAGAGAAAAATTTTAGGGGGCAGTTAGAAAAACAAAAGACAATGGAAAGACAGATTGAATCTATAGATGTAGAAGCTGTGAAAGTTTAATGAGTGAAAGTCTTATATGTGTCCACAAACGAAGTGAGCTAGCAAGGCAATTTAAATCAACTGTATAGGGTATTACAATTGTCTGTGTGTGTGAATGTGATCCCATACCATTTTCACTGTCGATGGAGACGTCGAGAGGGCTCTGGAAGACCACAGGGAACTCCCTGCCAGTTCCATCAGTGATCAGGCCACTCTCCATGACCCTCCCCACCACTGAGAATGTCTCCTCCAGCTCCACTCTGCCATCACTGAAGACACTCACATTCACTGACACCACTCCATCAGACATCATACTAGCTGCTATCACCTCATCCACTATGGACATGTAGTCAATGTCTCCTGCAGAGACATAGGTAGCATAGAGTGGTACATACTGCCTTGATTGTCAATAGCATTTAAAGTCTTGGACATCGGAGTGCAAAGGTCTACGTAAAACGCACATCAAACTTGATTTTTTGTGTTTCTTTCTGTGTGATAGGTGATTGCATTGCGGATCATGCAAATGGATTTTTTGGTCAAATGCTCACATTGCAGCCACAGAGAGTGCCAGGGCTAAGTCGTGTGATGGACCAGCAGAAGCTTTAGTTCGTTGCAGGGCTTTTACAATCCAGGAAACGATATTTCATATGGGCTCCAATGCATCGAGAGTAGGAAGGCATAGCAACGTCTTTATATCTGTAGCTTGCAGCCTGAAGCACAATTATTATAGTTCACCAGATATACAGCTAATCTCTAATTAATCTCATTGCCCTAATTTTCAGAATCCATTTAGCAGAGTTAGCATACCTACCAACCATCCAGCTTTTTGCTTGATAATCAAGCAAAAACGCTGCCTATCCCACCAGAAAATCGCCAAATCCCTCTTTTTTGTGCTAACCTGTGATGCATCATGCCCATACGTTATGAATGGACACACAGCATTTTCCAGCAAAAATACTCCAAATCAAGCAAATTTGACACATTTCTCAAGCAAAGGTTTATCTGCAGGTTGGTAGGTTTTATTATATGAGTTAGTAAAAAGTTGTTCACCTCATTGAGCACTATATACAGTAAAGAGGTTAGGCTATTGCCATGTGTAAACCATGTGTTTTCACTGCATTCCAGAGGTAACCTGATTTCTCTAAGCAGTGCTGCCAGTGTACATTGTAACATCTGCTGCCTGCTTTAATCATGTGCATACCAGTGGCAGAGCCATCAGTGGTAGAGAGGACAACATTGTAGTCAAACTCAAAGACTCCATCAGGTGGTGGGTTATCCAGGACAAAACTGACTTCCCTCTGTTCTCCTTCAGGGACAGTATAGGTACTCTGGGCTGGTACGTAGATGTAGTCTGAGGGGAGAGAATGAAGGAGAGAGAAAGAGAAGAAGGAGAGAAGAGGGATGAAAGAGTAGAAGAAGAACATGCCTCATACTACACTTACTCTATATCATGTCAGCCCTCTGTGCCCTACTGGCCTACCAGACTCATTGTATAGCTACATGAATACTCCTTCCTTCCCACCACAGACACCAGCCAACACATGCCATCAACAGGTCCCTGCTGACCCAGTGAACAATGTGGTGGGAACTGTAAACATTAGACCATTGACTAATGACAGCACTCCCCCTCCCACACTGTACCTACAGCTATAGCTGTATACATACAGCTATAGGTAGTACATAAAGAGTGGAGCCATAAGCATCAAAGAGCTTTCTGCCCTACAGACCAACACCCACCAGTGTGCTCCCTTTACTACATTCACAGGAGGTGAAGCAGCATAGGACAGATGTCACTAGTTATGCCCACTCCAAGGCATTCTGTGGTTAGGATATCATATGTGCTGCAGATGGTACAAACTGGCCTGGCATCCTTCTTTCAACCTGGCACCATAGATCATGCTTGTCATTACAATTACAGTGGACAGTGGGATAATGGAGGATCTATTTGGGCTACTTAGCAGTGGGCCAATTGTTAGACTTGTTTTCTTAAATTCGGTGCAACCTCTAAAAAGGACCCTCTGAATAAAGCACACCTCTCTATTACAGGGACACCTGGTTTTGAATAAGGGACATTTTCGACCTCCCCAAGGTGTCCCTTGTTCAGACATTTCACTGAGGTGTGTGAGCATATATAGACTTACCTCCATCATTATCTCTGATTCCCACACTGATCAATCTGGTCAGAGGGTCAACGACAAAGTTTGGACCTCCTCTCTGACGTAGCTCTTACGTCAAACGTCTCTGCCAGTTCAATTCTCGTGTCTCCACGAATGGTGACTGACACGTTGATACTGGACACGTCCGGAGGGAAATAGAACGTGTCGTCAGACACAAAGAAGTCGTCGTCCTCAGCTGTATTAGGTGAGCCACTGAGAGCAATGGAGTAGTTCTGCTCCGAGTCCAAGTCTCTAGTCACGAGGAGGTTGTGGGTAAAATCTACATCTTGTTCGTCAACAACACTCAAGAGAAACTGGAATCCAATAGTTGCTTCTGCAAAACACAATAACAACATTCACCAATGAGAAACTGAGTAGAGAATCTCTTACGGTCGTTTTCTTGGATTTCCAAAAGTATAGCATCTCTCCCCAGCACTGCTCCAGTTGGATTTTCTCTGAAGCCCAGGACTCCGATGAAATATTGGTCGGAATCTTCTGCTATGTCATCATCAATAATGGGTACTGGAATGATTGTTGGGCCATCTCCAGGAGGTATGGTGAACTCTATCACATCAGGCACATAGTCTGCCCGGCTGGTGGTAGATTGCATCATTATTACCACTGCATGTGTTTGTTTAAGATTTTTTCTTACGTGTTGCAAGGTTCGGTGATCTGGGATCAAAGGTAGGAATAGGAAGGCCAAACGAAGCATCATACTCAGTGGGAGTGAGAGTGAAGGACACTTCTTCTGCTGTAGCCACACTTCTAGTGATAGTCACATTGATCTCAAGATCATCTTCGTCTGCCTCTGCCTCTCCAGCGAAAAACTCAAACCTCACAACTGGAACATCATGGGAAAGACCAGGGCAACGACTACATCACTGTATTGCGACTATTATGCCCTTGTTTAATATGCCACAGTGTTCATATTATTATGATGCTGAAAAGCCAAAGGCTGATCTGTGCATTTCCACTGCATGCATAACTATGTAAACATAGCTGAAAAAGTTACTTGTGTAGTGGAAACTATGTACATTGTAATGGTCGTTACCGTCAGAGTCCTGAATGCAGATGTGTAGAGAGGCGTTAGTAAGTTGTACATTGGGAGGTCCACTCAGAGACAGAGTGAGGTTCTCCACTCCCTCCAGTCCCAGACCGTCTGCTATGGCCTGGTAACTCACACACGGCTCAGTCATAGTCTCAGTGATGGTCACTTGTGGCGTGATCAGATTGAAGTCTGTACATGGTCACAACACAGCATAAAGGATGTGTTAATGCTAAGTTTGTAAACTGAAATTAGAGTATGATTCAAAACAGTGTCTTTCTACATATTATTATATAGCCAGCAGTTGTTGTTATAGTGAGAATAATGTGGTTGGAGGGCCAACACAGAAGTTTTACGGCAAAGGGAGTTGCAAAGTTTTGCCATGTATTGCAAGATATTTCCCCCTCAAATGTATGGTACATGGTACCCTTACCTTCAGGTCCAGCAGTGCCATAAGTGACAGAGACAGTTAGCACAGTATCCACTGCAGGAAATTCAACAGTAGTCAGACAGATCTCCTGCAACACACCCTCTGGGATACATCCATCCCCCGGTGTGCTGAACCCAGTCTGAACTGCAACAGAACAATAACCAGTCATCCCACTGATAGAGCTGATTTTTTCTTTCTTTCTTTCGGGCTACACACTCTTCAGCATTCTTTCAGTCTCCCATGCATAAGATCGGAAGCAAGGATTAATTAATCTGAGGTAACCTGGTGAAGAAAGCTATCCGTGCTAGCACTTATGATTATAAGCGCTTACACAACTACTTTTAATGCCCACCAAGTTATTTAGCCTATTACAACGTGACTGGGATGACTACCACAGTGTGGAGGCTACAATAATCATACTGTCATTATCTTTGACAATGATCCTGACTGTTGGGTTGATGAGAACACGCTCGGGTTCGATTGGTGGAAGCCGGACTAGAGTGAGTACAATGTCTTCTGTTCCTTCTCCTCCTATACCATCACTGGGACTAGAGTGACATTAACTGTGACTGGGACCAACTGCAGTGACACTTCGTCCATGAAAACACTAGCTGGATCTGGAGTGACAACATAGTCCACTCCCTCTGTAGGAGAAACACAGTAATCATCAAAACATGCAAAAGAGTATAACAGTCATCTTATAAATAGACACACGTCAACACCATAACTAAATACCTGTGCTGAACCCGAGGTCTGAATGTTAAAGTCTATTCGGAGTTGATTTGTGGATTATTCTTAGTGTAGAAAAGTGTCAGGGAGACAGTCTGTCCTTCCACAGCTGTTATTTCAGTTTGAGGCACAGCTGATGTCGAATCACTGCTGATATTCTGTACCCATCCAAACCCTGATAGAACCAAAAAGGTTCAGTTCAAACACTGATGTCAGTATAGCTTACCATAACACGAAGAGCATGATTCGCTGCCCACTGCAGGTCTGAATGAGAGAGTATCAGCCATGCTACAGCAGGCCAATGTTGAAACCTGTACACCAACACTACCAGAACCACAACCAAGTCCAGTGAAGCACGGCACAGTCTGTGCAGAGCCTGCAAACGTAAGTCGTGCAATAATCCAAAATGTTTATCATTGCAGTCGTCTAATAGCTACGTAATATATACCTTGCCGGAGACTGCAGGCTAGCAGTAGTAAAGCTGCAGCGACCCAACCAGCCCTCATCTTCTCAATTTTCTCTAGCAAGCCTGCAGCGCGCTCTCTCGGCCCACGATTGGTTGGCCGCGTGTTTGTTGCAGTAGCTGGGCAGCGAAACACGCACCTGATCCCTCTTAGAAGTTGTGGGATCCTATTAGAACGCCCCCGCAGTATTGCCCTGAGAACAAAGCGTGTTTTTGCGGGCAGGTTTCGCCGTCTTAGTGATCTTCCGTCTCGGCTGTGCGGTATGCGAGGCTCGTACCGCACAGCTGTTGCGTCCGTGTTTGCGAGGGAGAGATCTATCTCCTAACCGCAAGAAAGGGTTCTCATGATGCTACCAGATGGTAGCTGCTCGCAAGGTTATCTGTGTGTTTACAGCCAGGGATGGATTCCGAAATGCACCGCGCGCGCACTGGCAGATTTGCGCATGCGCGGTTAATGCTGCGAATTTCCGTATTTCTCCGTAAATTTATAGTATACTAGTAAACAAACATGGCGTCTCAAGAGAGGAGGGAGTTCGACAAATACTTAAAGTTTTTGACTTTCAAGGTGAGTGAGAGAAACGAAAAGCGACTCGTAGTTTATTCGTAGTATTGAAGCCTCTAATTATGTAAAGATTAGGAGCAATTGACCGCGGATAAGTGTGAGAGACGAACTAATACTTGTCTCACTCGTGACGCAGGCAGTACAGGTTATAGTCCAGTCCAGACAGGGAGGAAAGATAGCCACCAGATCAAATCCTCACGGAAATGACTGGGTGAGTCTCAGTACCATAGCTACAGCTCTCCCCTTCTCTTCCACACACTAGTCTTTCTGTGGCTACAGTGTCTCACCTTGGTTAACAATCCATCCACTAGTTTTACTTTGTTTATCATCTGATTGGTTAGTAATAGCTACATCCATGCACTATTTACTTCGTTTATCCCTGATTGGTTAGATAGCTACAATCCTCAGTTTATTCCTACACTGTTTTCGTTTGTACTGTTCTCAAAAGAATAATCTCTCCCTGTAATCTTTCCAGTTCAACCTGTCCATCTTGGACGACAAACAGGTTACGGTGGAGCTCAAGAGGTCACTGGAGGGTCGTCTGCCAGAGGCCGGCCAGCCAGTCTGTGTCGAGATACTCATGGAAACCTCTGAGGTGGACATACACATTTTGGCAACGGAGTATTGAAAATTTTGGGGGGAGGGGGGGGCATTTTTTTAGCCAATCGTATATAAGTGCTTTAGGATGATTCTTACGAATGTGACAGTGCATAATACTAAATTATTGTTACTATAGATGGAACTAAATGTTATAGTGCTACTTGTTACGGTAGAAGAATGCAGTTGCAATTATATAAATGCCACATGTTTGCCGAAGAATTAATGCTAATTCTTTCTGCAGGGTGACTCTATAGTGCTGGAGGTATGGAGCATTGAACTGGACCCTAGGTATGTATGGCAAGTAATATACTGGTTTAACTTGTTGCCTCTCTCTCTCTCTCTCTCTCTCTCTCTGAGCAAAACTGATTCTAAAGCCATCGAAATCATGTGTGTGCTGCCAATTGGATTTCTACCCCCTTCTTCCTTTCTCCCTCCCTCCCTCCCTCCCTCCCTCCTCTCTCCCTCCTCCCTCCCTCCCATCTCCACCAACCTATGTATACACAGCAGGAGGGATGTGAGTGTATCAGTAGCCCACGTCCTCTACCCACGTCTCTCCCTCATGTTGAGGTCACTGGTGGTCCTCTCCAGAACCACGCCGGCCTACAGACTCTCTCGCTCCCACGAAGACACTCTCAAATTCACGTAACTCTCCCCTGTCTCACTCCAGACTTACGTCTTTTCCACCGCAATCTTTTCTTTTTCTCCCTCTCTCTTTCCAAACTTTTGTCTTTCCCCCAATCTTGCTCCAAACTTTTGTCTTCTCCCTGTCTCACTCCAAACTTTTGTCTTTTCCATCACAATCTTTTCTTTTTTCTCAAACTTTCGTCTTTCCCCCTATCTCGCTCCAAACCTATTCTCTATCTCACTCATAGTTTCATATCTAGGTCCAAACTTCCATCTTTTCCCTCTACTCATATGTATATCGCAGTCCAAACTTTCGTCCCTTCATTCTTACATTTGTGTGATCTTCTGTTGTGTAGATTTCGATTGTATGCATCGTCACCTGACATCAACACTGAAGGTACATACGCAAGTATTCAGTATTGCACAATGTATGTTAGTCATTATTATAGTGCTATATACTTGCTGTGCTATTTCGTGCTGTATGCACTGCCACGTGGTGTCGTGGTGCAGGTTTCAGGAATGTCGTATGTGCCAAGACATCGTGTTCATTTGGCACCATCTCCCTCTCCCTCCTCTACCTCCACACCATCACCCTCCCTGACAGGTATATAGGTGTACTGTGGAGCAACTCTCATACAGACACTAATAGGACGGAAGAAAGTGTCCATAATATTTATTGTTAGCGAGATATCCTTATTTCAGGGGTTGCAATAACTGTTCTTGGGGGGGAAATAAAGTGTCATTATTAGAGTAGTGTCCTCATTTCATGTGTGTCCTAGGAGAAGAGGGTCCCACTAATGGCAATGGGAAAGGTATCAAAACCTCTTGGGCCTGATTCAGCCTTTGCTAACTTTTCAGGCAAGATGTGGTACGGATCAATTTCAAAAGCACTTTCGCTTGAAATCACTCTTTTATTGTGTTACAAACTGCTCAATTACCTAATAAAATTGCTCATCTTTCTCTCATCCCCCCTCCCTCAGACCTCTACCAGAACCGTCGTCCATTCACGAAGTCTTATCTCCTCGATCTATCTCTATTGACAACCACTGGTACACATTACATAACCACTGTACAGGTGTTAGCTAAAGCAGGGAACCAGGACCCAGTTGGGGTCAAGGTATATAAATTTTGTCTCTCTCTCTCTCTCTCTCTCTCTCTTCTGCAGTGACAATCCCTCCCTCCCCCTTTTCCCATTCACCTCTCACCCCACCAGTGGGTGTGGCACTAACACCACAGACCACACCCCTTTCTTCTCTACCATCCTTCCTCGGAATGAAGAGGACTTTGAGAGAGAGGAATCCCACGACACTCTGGTCAGATGATTGTCACATGATACTCACATGACATAATGATTGTCACATGATACTTACATGACTCTGGTGTAACCTGGTCATGTGATGTACTTTAGCTAGTCTTGTATATGTGACCATAATGTGAAAGTGTTGAGCCATAGACGATGCTTTGCTGAGACATCGTTCAAACGGATTGTGTTCAGTTACTAGTACGTATGTTACTAAGAGTCTTGTTTCCATGATGTGTATAATGTCACAAGACTGAGTTTTGAGTCACGAAATATGTTATTGGTTACCCAATGCATAGTACGCCATAAGAAGAACAGGTTATGAACATGGGTTACGGGCTTAGAACAATGGAAAATGCTGATCTTAATCTATAATGAAGAACCAGCCACAAAGCCTGACACCCTATGTGATTGGGGGTTCAAACCAGCTGAGTTGCCCTGTTGGTAGAGCGCTCGCCTAGACTGCAGAGTGTCGTGGGTTCAAACCCCTACCAGCTGAGTTGCCCTGGTAGCTCAGTTGGTAGAGCGCTCGCCTAGACTGCAGAGTGTCGTGGGTTCAAACCAGCTGAGTTGCCCTGGTAGCTCAGTTGGTAGAGCGCTCGCCTAGACTGCAGAGTGCCGTGGGTTCGAATCCCACCTAGGGCAGCTCTTTATTTTTCCTTGGAAAAAAATAATCCCACCTAGGGCAGCTCTTTATTTTTCCTTGGAAAAAAAGAGCTGTCCTAGGTGTAGTTGATTTGTTTGTTGTGCCTTTGCCTTTCCACCTCATATAGTTTTCACATGCGTGTGTCCTCCATTAGACCAGCAGTGATGGAGGAGGGCAGAAGGTGATGTGGGACCCATCATCTCTACCTACAGCAGAGCAAGAACAAGATGGCTACATTCTCGTGGACCTAAAGCATATCGTGAGCCCCTCTATAATACAGCATCAGGCAGACACCCTACATCTGATGATATTCCTTTATTTCTCTCCCTCCTCTCCTCTCTCTGAGTATATCTGCATCTCTCTCTCTGTGTTTATGATTATGCAGAAGCCAACGTTTGCCCCTGAGACCCCACATCGATGAGTTGGGCCAGTTTCTCCAGAACTGCAGAGATGTTCCACATCTCGACCTCTTCTCTGGCGACACAACACCATGAACCTCCATGCTGCCATGGTAATGATACGCTTCTCTCTTTCTTTCTTCAACTGTTTACTAGAAAAATGTGCTTCTCTTCTCTCCACACTACAGAGGCTGATTGATGAGAGGACCTTGAACATTGATGGACACGCTAAATCAGTGGACTTATCATAATAAAATAATATACGCTCATTATGTCATCACACATGATGACGCGCGGCTAGGTAATCTGCGCATGCGTACTAGCTTTCGCGCGCGAGAACCGATGCAGTTCACGATCATGATGGCAACAGACACGAAAACAGCGACAAGAAGACATCATCATATTATGCAAATCAATGTCTACTTGTGACAAAAGCAAGATCAGATCTCTGGGAATAGGAACACGTTTCCATTTTCGCCTAAGCGACCGACTACAGTTAGTGGTCGCAGCCGCGTTGTTTGCTCTTCTCGTCGTCGTCTATATATAGCTGGCTGCACGATTCTCGCTGCTGATATCAACTGCATTCAGGACTAGTATAGATGTCTTCCCCTTCGTCCCGCGCGTGGATTATCATCGCCATCTTCTTCTTCTGCCCTCTCACCGGAGCCTGTATGTCGCACACATTTTTGTAGTGAAGCTTTCTTCTAGTATGTAATTCATGGTGCATAGCTAGCTACATAGCTGCAAAAGCTATCGTAGTGCTGTTTTCCACCGACAGATCCTGAACCGACTCCTCTAGAACAGATCCTCAGCTTCAGTTTGGAGGAGACGCTGTACGCGGTGAACGAAGACAAGGGATCTCTAGAGATATGTGTCACTGGAGAATTGACGGGGGATTCTGCCCAGCTTTACTTCGTGGATGGCTCTGCGACAATGAATGGTATAGCTACATGTTGCAGTGACTACTAAAGTCTATTTCTCTTTGTTTGCTGTGTGCCAAACGTTCCACATAATGTATATATAACTCAATGCAGGATAATATCAATGCTTCTACTGTCTTTATTCTGTCTTTTTACCTCCAGTGGATTATAAACCGCCAGGAATGGTAGCAACTCTACTATTTGCACCAGATGCCAGCAGGGGTAGTGGAGAGTTAGCCACTGGCTCAGGCATTACTGACACCCAAAACCTCACGTCCACGCCCCAGCCGGGATTACTGACACTAGAGCGTCGGTGCGCTATTGTGGAGATAGTGGACGACTCTATAGCTGAGCCCAGGGAGAGCTTCACTGTCGTCCTTGACTCCAGCATCAACATAGGCACCAATGTTGCTGAGGTTCACATCATTGACAATGATGGTGAGCTGTTGTAATATGCATCAAATGAGTGTTCTATACTCCAATGTTCACATTATTATACGACTTCTTCCTCCCACCTCCCATGCATCTCTCTCTGCCCAGTGATAGTGATAGGTCTGGAGAAGACAGAGTACACTGGCTATGAAGGGGAGGATGTCATGGTGTGTGTGACCGTGGAGGAGGGAGGGGACATGGACAGTGTTCCGTTTGACTTTGTCATCACCTCCATGCCTGACACACCGCTCTCTGCACAACCATCCTGTAAGACGAACCATTATAGCTGGTTATTAGCTAACTTGGTTGAAGTGGCTGGGAATGTATGACGTTCTCTGAAACTTTTTCACCTCAAAAGACTTTTTTAATGGCTCTGATTTTGTGCTTTATTACTTATTGGGTTCAGGATAAAGCCAAGGTCTAAATTTAATAGGTTAATAAGCCATCCTCTCTAATGTAATACGGTAATACTGTGTCTCCATCTCTGTCTACAGTTGATTACGTGATATCAGTAGGGGAATACCCGTTTCTCTCCGGGCTCCCCGACACGTGTCATAACATCACGATACTCGACGACGAGCTAGCTGACCCGTGGAGACCTTTAGGATGGAGGTCATCCATCAAGACGAGCAATTGGACTCGATAGAAATCAGCACCAGCTCTGCGGTAGTCCACATCATCGACAATGACAGTGAGTTACGCTGCTACAAACCAAAAGATCCAAAATGGAAGGGTTCCATATCAAGGAAATATAAGTTGTACTTGATTCCAGGCTTTTTCTCAAAATCAAAGTTTTCAAATGTAGCTATTATATATAATAAACATAACCGCCTTTCTGCCCTGTGCTAACATGAGCTGTCTCTTCATTTGCTTCCATTTTTCAGCTCATTTCTCTATCTCTCATCTCTCCACAGATGTGACAGTCTCCCTGGCAGAGGCTCAGTACACTGTTGGGGAAGAAGATGAAGAGGTGACAGTCTGTGTCCAGTTGGAGGAGGGAGCTCTGGGTGGTATAACTGCCACCGTCGACTACCAAATACTGCCTGGCTCAGCATCACTTGGTAAGAGAATGTCTAATAATAAATAATGTCTGCAAATGAATACACATGCTTTTTATTAACGTCAAAACTTCTGCTTCTTATTCATCCTCGCCCTTCTTCACTTGTGCAAGCCTCCAGTCAACTACAATACACCCCCCCTATCTCCCCCAGCTGACTACCTTGGTCCGAGGGTTGGTAGTCTGTCACTAGGACCAGAAGCGGTGACAGGAGATACAGCATGTCTCACCATCCCTCTGGTGAATGACAGCATTCATGAGCCACCGGAGACACTGACACTCTCACTACGACCTTCCTCTGCGTTTGTAGTGATTGGAGCCAACAGCTCTGCTACCATCACCATAATTGACGACGATGGTAGGTGCCTTCCCCTGTACTCACACACACACTCTCTGATTGTACCAGTAAAAAGTGAAATCTACAAGTTAGCAATGGGCTATTTGCATCTACTCTGTAAGCAATATTCACTATAATTTAGGCATTAATTTTCACTGAAGATCACAACATGCCTTTTATGCCTATTCCCACTACAAACATAAATGCCCAATGTCCTCTTTCTCTTCCGCTATATACTGCTGAAGGTGCATTAGCAGCGGTGGGTATGGAGTCAGTGGAGTACATGTTCAGTGAGGGTGATGGTGTGATAGTGGTGTGTGCCGTGCTAGAGGACGGAGACCTTGGGAGCATCTCTGAAATCCCTTTCTCCGTCGAGGATGATACAGCCAGTGGGAATAGTGAGACACACAGTATAAGTGCCACGATTCCTAAACATATTCATAGTTGTGTGTGTAGTTCACATGCACCAGAGACCCCTCTCTCTCTTTATTACTGCTACAATACCACACTCACTCTTCAAACCATGCTGTATCTCATTCCTATTACTAAAGTTTTACAAGTCAACTCTCTCCTTTTCTTTTTTATTCTCTCCCTGCCCATCAGTTACTCACAATGTAATAACAGTGCCTCTTATTTTATTACTAAGTCTGTACAAGTCAACTCTATTCTCTCTCTGACTCCCCCCCCCCTACCCCTCTGCTACCTTTCTGTCTTTTCCCTATTCTTCCCTCCCTCCCTTACTCCTCACCATTTTTCTCTCTCTCTCTGACTCAATGGCTATTTGTGCTGCAGTTGACTACCTGCTACCGCAGACACTCGTCTTCAGGTTTCCACTAATGTCTCCAGTAGGGCAGCCAGCATGCGTTGAGTTCACTCTAGTCAACGATAATATTGTTGAAGATATGAGGACATTTGAAATCAGACTCACCCCTCTACCAGGAGTGACTGTTGGGACCAACGGCTTTGCTTTTGTTACCATTGTCGACGATGATTGTAAGTCCACACACCCTTACCCGATACTCACGTGTGTGTCCAAAATTAATGTCAGGGATGACGGTTTCAAAATAATATACAGGTGCGACTTTAATGCAGCCCATTCTTACTATAGTAATAGCTAAGAATTTGTGCCACTTTATCATGTTCGGGGGTGATCAAATAATGTAAAGGGGGTGGTGAAGTTCTTGCATCATATGCGTGAAAGGGGCACGAGTTCATAATAGGCCATCTGCTCTATGTGTATGTATTCCACTGCTTGTCTACTATAGCCTATAGTGTCTCTTGAGACAGTCTTCACTCTACAAAAGTTTGTCTCCTCCCCTCTTGCAGTTGTAGTGGTCTCCTGGACCCAGGGGGCTACCGCAGTAGACGAGGGCTCTGGGGCTGTGTCTGTGTGTGCAGAGATAGTCGACGGCCAGCTGGGAGTGTCAGCCAGTGTAGCACTCTCCACTACCTCTGAATCAGCCTCTGACTCTGGTAGAGTAACTACCTAACTTGCAGAAAGACATGTCGCAAAATAATTCCTCCAATAAGGGACCCTCTGAGATAGGGATGACCTCTCTACAAAGGACACTTGTTTCAACCCCATGCTAATACTCTAGTATATTATTTGACCTATGAGATAGGGGCGAACTCTCTACAAGGGAGAAAATCGTTGGCCCCACAGTGTCCCTTGTTCAGAGGTTGTAATCTCCTGGCCATGTCGCTTCTCCATTCATGCATGCACGTGAGAATACAGGGGCACTTATACAGGGGCACTCTTATGCAGAAAGGAAACAGCTACTTGGGCAAGATAGCTAAAGCATTTGCCATTACAAAATACAGGAGACTGCCGTCGTGTACAATACCCGATGCATGCAAAACGTGGCTTTGAGAATTGTAGCCACTTGGATAATGTACAGTATATACAGTAGCTCTTGCAGTACTTTTTACTTCATCCTAATTTCTTCTTCTTCTTTGCTCTTTCTCTGTCTCAGTCGACTATGAGCCACTAGTGGGTGAAACCCTGTCATTTGGACCAGGAGATCGCGAATCATGTGCCACCATCGTGATAATAGACGACGACGTCACCGAGCCTATGGAGTCATTTGTTGTCTTCTTTGAACCACTGTCACTATTTGTGACCATTGATAATGGAGGCGACACATTTTTACAAGTCACCATTACAGATGATGACAGTAAGTACACCACAACTAACAATTATTATTTAATTATGGGGAGTTGATGATCTGTATTAATTGGGATACCACCTGGACCATTTTATCTTGCACCATTGGATCTGAAATGCAGCACAATGCAAGCATCGGCTAGATTAGGTGTTTTTACCTCCTATTGTATAGGATCAGCTGGGATGGATACACACATATCCATACCTTTGCAACAATTACATACCCATGGAAGATTTACTGTATTAGTATATGTGAGGGGGCATGGGAAAAGGGACCTATATGGCTGGAATGTGAAAATTAAGTTTTTGTGGTGTTTCACCCTCAAAAACTTTTAATTTTCACATTCCAGCCATATAGGTCTCTTTTCCCATGCCCCCTCACATATAAGTGTCACATTTGAATGTTGGTAACACTCTGTCTGTCTGATTCTGCAGAGATTGTGGTGTCGCTGACTCAGGGAGACCCTGTGACTGATGAGAGCATGGGGCGTGTGATGGTGTGTGCGGTGATAGTGAGAGGAGAGCTCGATGGGACCACTGCCACTCTGGCACTGTCCACTCTCGATGGCTCTGCCATTAACACTGGTGCTGCGTGCTGATTCAAATATTTCTGTTATGTAGCTAGTATATACCGGGTACCAGGCTAAGGCTAGTATTAATAGCAGATTGTATATATACTAATATTGTTTGTAGTCGGAGAGAGAGCAGAAAGGATTCAGTGTAAACCAATTGTGTGTGCATGCCCCATAATTCTTAATAGTTTATATCGCCAAGGTTTACCATATATGAATGCCCCTAGCCCCTTTCAAAAGACAAAAGACTGAGACCGATGCTATATTGAATGTCACATTCTATGTACCATATCTCACGATAAGACTCAGACTAGCTATATGTACTTGTGATAAACAGTTTTATATATTTTTCCCCACCAGAGGACTATGTGGCTGTGGACTCAGAGCCCCTGTTGCTGGGACCAGTGGCTGTAGCTGGAGACAGTGTCTGTGGGACTGTTCCACTGATTGATGATGAGATATCTGAACCGATGGAGTCATTTTCGGTCACACTAGAGTCTGAGTCCAACAACACTAGTGTTGAGGGCACTTCCAGGGCCAGAGTTACAATTCTCGATGATGATAGTAAGTCTTTTGGAGCCGTCATAGCAACCAAGTGCAGTAGCTACCAACAAGCTAAACATTAGTACAACACACGTGCACACACACAGTTGCATACACACACATGCACACACACACACATGCAGAGAGACAACAAGATGTAAGACTCTTCTGCACTGCTGCTAGACATTTTCCCAAGAGTAATTTCTTTCCCGCTCTGCAGTTACTGCTGCTGAAGTAACAGATGTGGTGTCAGCTGATCCTCTGTTCAAAGTCCACACATACCTTAGTTCAGACTCACCTTTGAACTCTCCACTGGCCCTCTGCTACCAGGTCCACGGGGACGGTAACACTTACTATAACATTCTCTCTACATCATACGTGTCACTCAATGGCCTGTGGACTGCTGAAACTGGTACTCTTAACATCCTCACTGAGATATCCGTCCAGACTATCTCACGCACTGGTGAATGCTATCATATTCTTGTGGAACTCGAAGAATGTACCGTGAGCATTAACGGAGAGAGTTTCACAAGTAACAGTCTCCACCTTCTAAATTCCAGCGAGGGTGGGGTGCTTGTTAGTAGGGATGATGACAGGGTCGTGGTAATTAGAGTACCAGATGGGGGAAGCGGAGAGGGACTGAGGGTGGAGGTAGAGTGCGAGTCAAGGAGGGTATTTGATGGAGAGGAGGAGGTTGAGACACCAATGCTGCTGCTGAGAATCACCCGCAAGTTGTCTCTCTCTGGAGTGGCCCACGGACTACTGGGTCTGTTTTCAGCCACACACATTAGTAGCTAGCTAGCATGACTATTGTCATTTGATAAGTTAGCCTTTCTTGAAGATTTTGTGAAGTCTTGCTACAGTCCATTGCAACATTTAGTTAATTGTCCACCCCCCTTAAAGTATATACCATTTCTTTCTGCACAGAATGGCTAGCAGCATTTGAAATCCTGACATTGTTCCCTGCTACTACTAGTGCATGCACTAGTAAATATTATCGTTGATTCTGCAGGTCAGTTCTACCATCGGATTATAGAGATAGAGCCTCACTCAGACTCTGACCCTGACACCTACTACACCGTGACTGTCCCTGAGAGGGAGGGACAGCCAGCAGAGAGACAGTTCCTGGGGAGACTCTACCATCTGGACTGGAACCACAAGCAGAGCCCATGCCTCTATGTTGGCGATAGCCAGGGTGGACCTGTCATTTCCGGCTTGTATCGCGACTATGCAGTGAACAATACATTCTCAGAGGAAGGCTACCGGTTCGGAGTGTTCAACAGTGACAACTGTGTGATTTAGTAGCACCATTACATCGTGAATGCTCTCTTTATGGGGGTCCACCACTCACTGGTCTGAGATTACCGCCTGCAACTGGCGTGATGTGAAGATTGAACAATATTTGTTCTGTGTCCAGATTGCTTTCGTGTTATTTTAAATTGTGCATGGTTGTGAAGAAGATGATATATCTCATGACAATCGATACTATTAGGGTTGCATACATGTGCGTGTTGAAAAAAGTAATGTTTTAGTTTTAGCTCAGTGTATTGAGAAAGGACAATACTGAGATACTTTGCCCCAATCCCCATGCTGATGAGAAGGGGGAGGTCCCCCGCGCGGTTGTAAAGTCGCGTGATGTAAACAGTGTCGACGAACGCATGCAGTTCGCAGCGCCAGCCGCCCTATGGGGTGCCATTTGTGTCAATATTATTTTCTGCTGACATTTATCACGAGAGCTGATATTTAATTACTTGTAATGTCTAGCATACATGAAAATATCAGAAGTCGCGGACGAAAGAGTTGATAATCTGGTCTGGGTCTGAGAGAGGCGTGAGAGAGAGAGAGTATAGTGATGAAATGTAATGAAACAGCCCTTGTGGCACCACAGAGATGGCAGATGCCTGGCTGAAACTGTGGTCTGGTCAATTCGCGATAAAGGGCCTGTAGAGAGTCAATACCACGAGGTCCATAATCAAGTGCCATCCATGACGTGTCTGTGGCTATTCGTGATGCAATCGCTATACTGTTGTGACGGCTGGCCTCGGTGGTGCAGGCCTCCCAGTCTGCCTGTAATACTTCTCGCTTTATCTCTGTTAGAGTTGATTGGGCACTGAGCATGGCATCGGTAGAGCCCTGACAGGAGAGCTTACCCTCCGTAGCTCTCTGGGATTCAGAGTCAGTCCATTCTGTACTGCAAAAGTTTGCACAGTATAAATTTGCTCTTGTAAAGTAGCTCAAGAGCTACTAATGGTACGTATGTCGTCAGCATGGATGGATGCACCCGCATACGTATCACCAATAGAAGGACCCAATGCCTTACTTTGTAGAGATTTCAGTAGGGGGTCCATAATCAGCAGGAACAGAACTGGGGAGAGGACAGAGCCTTGGAGAACTCCACGCTCTAGAGTGAACATGGAAGACAGACAGCCATCGACCCTCACCATGCTCTTTGGAGATGAATAGCTACCAGCTTTGCAGATGAATACCAGTTTCGCAGCAACCTCCAAGCCCCGCCGTCAAGTATAGCTTCTGCACAGGAGACACCTTTGCGGTAGGCTGTCTGATTGAGATGTGGTATACCTTTCTCTGAGAAATGACACTGCTGCCGTGTTAGTATGAGTGACTCCAAAACTTTGGCAAGCACTGATGTAAGCGTGACTCCTCGGTAACTGTGTGTATCGAGAGGATCCATCTTATCGATCTCTTGTTCTGAGCAGCACATGACCGAAGAGTGCTCTGTGTTGGCAGAACTAATTGCCCGAAAATGTCTTCCCATGCTGCGGTTTTTGGGTCCGCAGCCACTTCTTGACGCACGCAGTGATGGACTTTCACGTGTTTTTGTTGAAGGAACCTAAACCGACTTGAAGACTTCTGTTTGTCAAAACGTTGAATTCTCTTCCTTTCACTATTGGCAGTGCAGATTGACTCTCATCCTCTTTCTGAAATCACTTTTTTATTTTTCGCGCCCTCGATCCTTTGGGGCAACCATTTTGCCTGTCTGCGCATGCGTGATTTGTTTCCATCTCTTTGCTGATGAGAGGACTGACGCTCTTCGCAGAATGTCACTAACTCTTTGGGTCCACGCAACTACCCTCCTTTTCTGTACCTTCCTTCAGCAAGGTATGGCAAACTAATAAGACGCTGGCTTAGCTTCATAATGTCGTGCCGATGTGACGAGGCCGTTTCATATTCATGCACATAGCTAGCCAGCTAATCATTGGATCACTGCTTACATGTGTAGCTCACCGCATCCTTCGCTGCTGTGTTAGTTCCAAGCTACACGTGTGCTGCACGTGTGCTGCTGCAGGAAGATTACGAGTATAACTGATGGGAGGACTACAACTACTGAAAAAACTTGTTTTCGCAGCACTATCGCGAAGTGTATTTACTACCTAGGTGCATATTTGGAGAGCGGGAGCGATCCAACTGACGGTTGTGTGCGTGCGTGCAATAGTGTTACGTGTTATCCATAACAGGCACAGAGGTTTGCCGTACCACAGAGAGAGGTAGCTATATTTGTAGATCGGCAGAGGTTATCATGCCAGGGAATCTCTCCATGCAGGTAACGCAGGTAGACACCCGCAAATCTGGCATTTGAGAGTGAAACTTGGTCATTTTTGAACGAACCACAAAAGCAAGACGATGTCTCCGGCAAGCACGGTCGCCTCAATAGTTGCCGCCGGTTTCTGAAGCGCGACGATGTATGTCTCTCTCTGCGCCGCGCCTAGCCTAGCCTAGCGGCTCCCCCTGCTTTCCATAGTGACGCCGGTTGAGCTCGTATGCTCCGTCACGATTTACAGCGACCTACGTATAACGTTGAGAAATGGAGAATCAAATGGTGTATAGTTGAGAGTCAAATGTATCACAGTGTCAAACAAGGTCTAGTTTAGAATCAAATGTATGCGAGTTCAGTGTTAAAGACGTTCAGTTCAGAATGCAAAAACACAGTATTTCAAGACTGACTTAGTTTTAATCACCCTCCATAATATACACCATAATCCTTCCAGGCTTATCACAGTTTGTCCCGTGCTTCACTAACATGGATGTGGTTGATAAACATTTTGGATTATTGCACGACTTACGTTTGCAGGCTCTGCACAGACTGTCCCATGCTTCACTGGACTTGGTTGTGGTTCTGGTAGTGTTGGGGAACAGTTTCCTCACATTGGCCTGCTGTAGCCTGGCTGATACTCTCTCATTCAGACCTACAGTGGGCCACGATCATGCTTTAACATGTTATGGTAAGCTATACTCTGGCATCAGTGTTTGGAACTGACTTTTTTGTTCTATCAGGGTTTTGGATGGGTACAGAATATCAACGTGATTTGACAGTCAGCTGAACCTCAACTGAAGTGGACTGCTGTGGAAGACAGACGGTCACTCTCACACTTTTCTACAC